AAGTGTATGTTAGATGTTTCACCTCTGTCTTTTTATAAATAGCACAAACATAACTGTATTTGTGCCTCTAGAATTTCAGGACATGAAGCAGCCTCTGCCAGATCAGACTACAAAAAGAAGCTTCCTGCAGGCAGCCTGTCTTCTGCCAATTTTTATGTTTTTCTGAAATGTCTTGTATTGATGACCAGAGTGTGTGGAGTGATGAATTCTGTGGACTATTGGTCCACTCTATCTTGGAAATTCCTCACTAAAGTTATGCTGGGTGGCACTGAGCATCTCGAGCCTGCCGTGGCCGGCCAGCTGTACCTACAGCCTTTGCGTGTGCGTGTACATGCCTGTGTGCACATGTGCGTGCACTAGAAATAAGTGCCTACATGAAACAAGATGTTGTGAGGCAGCTATCACTCATTTAGGTTTTAGTGTAATCTAACAGGGAAATAATTCAACTTCCTTACCTCGTGTCCATTATAAATTAAGAGTACATGTGATAACTCCTTAATTTTGTGCTTAAGTTCACCTTGTAACAGTGGAAATTATCTAATTACTTTAAGGCTTCGGATGATGTCAATGTGAAGTATGCCATAAACAAATTTAATTAACCTAGCTCTCTGCTGGACTCTTACCAATAGGACATGAAAAGGACAGTACAAAATAAATATCTTTCTTTTAAGGAAATTCTTTGAATTACATAAGATATGTGGAAGGTATCTTCTTCACCAACACATGATCTACTTACTACACAGTAGACAAACCATGTTTAACAGAAATTAATACCAACTTTCACCAGAAGACATACCTGCTACCACTGCGTAAGTATTCGCTGTACCTCTCAATCCTCATTGCCATAAATGTGGTTTGGATGAAAATATAATGAGCTACATTTGGAAGCACTGGAAACCTGAAATTTGCTTTTTTTTTTTTTTTTTTTTTTTTTTTTGCTATCATTATGCCTGCATTGGGCCTTTTTTAGTCAGAAACAGGCTGGGATTTTTGGCAAGGGTTCTGCAACAGGAAACATCAAACAGAACAGTCATCAGACAGCTAAAATACCAGCACAAGGGCCAGCAGGGCCTTGAGCTCTGCCCTGGAGAGCAAGCACAGAACTAGATTTGCCTAAAACCTAAAATATTTTGCTTCAGTCTCTAACAGCTTTTGATATAGTAGCTTTGAAATAGTCCATTTTGCTATTCTTCTACAGGAATTGATATAAATTCTCACCTGATTAAGAAAAGAATGGGAATAACCAGATACGCTAAGATAAAAAAAAACACAAGTGTATTTTCTGAATGGTGGAACCTTGGCTGTACTGTGGCTGCAGGCAACGAGTGATGAGAATGAGATGTGCTCTTGGAGCTGAAAGCAAACAGAGCTGTTTTCCACATGTTCTTTCATGGTGATTCGGGCAGATCTGTCACCAGTTTCACAGCAGAATCAGGGCTGTGCCCAGCAGTATTTTGTGCCCAGCATCTTTTTCTGTAAGGGAGGAAGGATATGCTAGGTGGGTGCCTGCTCCATGGTGCGTGCAAAAAGACAGCTGTGTCACTGTGAGTGTGTGAGGTACAATCCAAGCTGTAGGGTGGCAGCAGTGGATGTCAGTGGTGGGACTGTCAGGTTCAGTGTGCGAGGTCTGGCTGGGCTGCTTTGGAGAAGCAATGGAGTGGTGCCATGGACAAGAAGTGGTATGTCACCATGCTGGCTGGCCAAGGGGGAAGGAGGCAGCTGGCAAAAATGAAAGCTGGCATTTATTGATTAGCATTGAAAGTATACAATTCTCTTTTTTTTTTTTTTTTTTTTAAGTACCCCATCGGTTCTCATTAATTTAATTGTATTTAATTGATTTTTTTTTTTTTTTTTTAATTCAGAATGTGTTATGAATATGGACGTTTGTGTGTTTTCCTCTCAGGAAAATTGTCGTGCAGAATGGAGCTTGCAAACAACTCCATCCTTTTAGGGCATACTGTATTTATTGCTGGTACCTCAGATATGTAGTTTGATGTGAAAGTCTGAATCTTTTGCCATGCCAAGAAGGGCACCTAAGCATTAGTGTGCTTGTTGTTTTGTTTCCTGCAAACTGGGACATTCGGCAAAAAATCTGACTTCACTCCTTTTCCCCACAATGATAGCATTGTACACTTGAATGCAGCCACAACTCAGCATCAACAATGGGAATCGTAGTTCATGGTACCAGTTTGAATTGAAGGGGTACTGGTGAATGTCACAGCCTTAAAAAACGGTGTGTCTGAACCGAGATTTTGGAAACAATTTTGATTGATTGATTGATTCATCTATGTAAGTGTTGTTTAATCCAGACTTCCTGATATTTCTCTGTAAAAAACAGCAACAAAATCTCAAAACATTTCTTCTGACATGGTTATGAGATCACTTTAGTTGAAAGGTGAACTCACTAACATCATCTCTAGGAAGTCATTTCTTGCCTTGGAGCCACCTAAGTTTCTGTGTCACTAGAAACCTGATTGGTTTTACCAAGGCCATGCATCCACACTGTGAAAAATTGTATTGTCAGAAGGCCTATTCCCTATGGAGAGTTGTTCAGGGAAGAGCACTGCAGATGTGATTTCATTGACAGCGTGTTTCTCTGGTATCTGTGCTTGCTGAGGATCGGTATCAGCTCAGGAAGAAGGTGCATGCATGCAACAGAAAGGCTAGGCATTGGTGGCTGATGTTTATAATTTCTGTCTGTCAACATGCAAACCTGTGATAATAAAAGGCAACATATATGTAGTAGAGTAAACCAAGCCTTAAGAAATGCTTTAGTTTTGCCCGTAACTCTTTGTGACAGTCTACATGGAAGCACTGCTGCCTGAATCCTTGTGTTGTGGTGGTACCTTGCCAGTATATGCTGATGTTACACAACCTGTGTGGTGTATTGTGCAGTGATACAAATACCATGGGACTGTAGCATTGCTTCCAAGAAAAATTCCTTCCATCAGGAAGAATAATGATTAAATCAACACAAGCCCAGGTTTTTGTTATTCAGTCAGCTTAGTGACACTAGCCTGGATCAGTGTGTTTGCAAATGATGCGTCATGAATTCTCCTATCGTCATATACAAACTGTTGTAATTCATACAAGTACAGTCTTTCAGGAGATGTGCATAAAGGTAGGAGTTTATACACCAATATGAAAACAGCACAACTAATTATGTGTCAGTCCTTTATGCCTTACCTATACTGTATTTGTAATCTCTAGAAAAGTAAGGTATGTGTAGGACAGAATATCAGAAACTCCACTGCAGCAGTCCTGCCAAGAATACTTATGATGTGTCTCCCTTCATATGAGAAATCTCACATCTCCTGGCCATCTCCACCGCCTGTTTTTTTGTTTTGCATTATGGAGTGATTTTGGAGTGCATGGATTCAATTCCAGTGAAACCAAACTGAGAAGTGTTCTCAAGAAGTGCATCTAATGTGGCCCCAATAAGCTCAGTGCAGGGAATCTGAAAGAAGAAGCTTGAATTCAAAAAACCTTTAAATGGTCCGAGTAAAGTTTTTAGGAGTTAGTGCATACGCAGTATCACTGCAAGTGACATTAATGGAAATATACAGGACATTGATGATGCTAACAGTGAAGAAAAGATGTTATAATAATACCTTTTAGTTTATAGTTCCAGAAATAGTTTTCAACTTATGTAACTGGTAAACAACTTCAATGTTGCTGAAAATACAGCCACTTCTGCAGTAGAACATGTCAGCCTATTTACAGTACACAAATTACACTACATTTGTAGGAAGATGGAGGAAAAAGAATTGCATAAAGTATCCCACATCCTAGGTAAAAACATCATATTGCAGCCCGAGTTTGATTTGGTCTAGCATTCACCTCCAACACTGCAGCTAAGATTTGGTGTGTTTTATAAGAAGAATCAATTTTTTAAAATACTCTTCTATTCTACATTTCATTGGGAAGTATAGTGTGGAAATGCTCTGACTCAGTAAACTGAGGCAAGGGGCAGAACTAGAGAAAAATTGGGTAGTAAGCAAAAATAGTACTCATAACATCCTTGACATTTTTCCTGTCTGCCTTTCCTTTGAAACAAAGGAATAATCATTTGAGATTCTGATTAATCTAAAGACTTTAATTGGTAAGCGTTAGACAATATGTAAAGAAAATAGGGAGTCAATTAGTTACAGAAAAATACACTGCATTTTCAGAAGTCCATACTATAATTTTGTTTTCTCATTAAGCAGAAGGACACAGGAAGCATAATTCTTTTAGTATCTCCATTTATTCAAATTTTATTCAATAATAATATTATAAATAATAATAATTTTAAAGCTCTCTTTCCTTCCTGGAACAGGAAATGTAAAAATAGGAATGGTCTACTTAAATTCCTGTGAAAAGAGGTGAAAATCTCTTTTTTTTTCTTTTGCCCTCTCCTTCAATTCTGAAAAGACAAATATAGTGACCCAATCAGTTTCAGCTACAAATATGTTTATTTTATCTGTTTGAAGTGACACATAAAACAATAAAGTACATAGAGATCCTATCTTGATTTTTCAAGATTGCCATCACATGCTCCAAAACTGTGTCAAATCAATTTGTGAGCTGTAAACCATTATCCATCATAAGATATATGAGTATTCATTGGAATATTTGATGAGTTCTGACTATTTAAAGTCAGTTAGCATTATAAGTATTGCAGTAAAAAAGACTGTCAATATAACATGTAACATTTTTTTCCTAAAATAATACACTTTTATTAGCTAGATGTCAAGTACATAATTGCTAAACACCAGTAGTGCAGAATATACTCCACAAACTTCTTACTCCCTTCATTCTTCTTTTATTTTTGGAAAACTGGCTGGTCTTTTAGAAACAAAAGTTTGAGAACCACTTTTCTTCCAGCCCAGATTTGTGCTGAAGTATTGATTCTGTGTTACAAACTTCCTGTGCCACGTCTCCCTGATCTCCTGGTCATCTTACTTAAATCTATAGCTTGAAAATTAATGTCTTACATTTTCAGATGTCCAAGAGAAGCTTCATTTTTCGGAACCAAACAGACTTCTAATCCAAAAAGGTATGTCTCAAATACTATGCCGCTCAAACCCATGTGACTTGAAGCAGGAGCCTCAGATTCTAAACTTCTCCTTCCCCTGTACTCAGGGACAGCTCTTCCATTTCTCAAGATAAAGGGGCAGGAGAGAAGTTTTGAATTTTTTAGGTCTCTTACATAACTTGACTATAGAAGCTGTCAGATCTGTGGGGGCTTGAGGAAAAGATGAATCTTTCCCAAATGCTAAGGCCAACTCTTCTGTCATCTAGTGCAGGGAGATTTCTTCCAGAATACTTTCTTGGTTGTGTCCTGCAGCGTGTATTCATCTCCTGCAAATATGATCTACATGATTAGCTGGAACTGAGTCAACAACCCCAGACTAGGGCACAGGATACAGGAGGATTTTATTACGAGTTAGGTTTCCTGGAGGGAAGTCCAGTTACAGAGGAGACTCACATTCTCCCTCAGTCTATTGTTCAGTCCAACTTGGACCCTGGCTTCTTCTGTTTATTTATTCAGACAGCTCACCACCTTGCATACCATCCCAAATGTGTACAGTAAACACTAGAAGCTCACTATGGTGGTAAAAATACATTGCAGCTATGACTGTCCACATCTTCCTAGGGTCAGCTGCTAATCATGGTTCCTTCTTCCCTCTCTTCCCTGTTGACAGGCTAATGCAAGTATGTACATGCATGCAGTCTGTATCCTGTGTACAAAGACTTTCATTCCCCTGAGCACTGAAGTATACTGGAACTTTCATCAGATGAAAAAAATACCTTTCTGTCAACAAAATGTTTCCTTCGAGGGTAATGGGGGTGACAGAAGAGTTCACTGCTTAACCTTCTGTACTTATTGCAGAGGAAGACTTTTTTGTTTTTTTCTCCTTTTATATTCTGTGTCTGTTAAAAAAAGGGGGACAATATGCTATCGGATTATAGTTCATTAGAATCAGCTTCACTGACTTTGCAGTTCAGGCCATGAGTACATATTTAGCAAGGGCATGGTTTAACTCATGTTAACCCAGTTATTTCCCTATACTTCTTCCCAGGACTGGGTGCCATCATTGTGCCGTGGAATTTTCTTCAGCAAGGTATCTGTCCTTCAAAGACTTTGGACAATATAGATGTGGAAATGAATTCAGATATGTTTGCAATTGTGAAAAAGGAGTGATTGAAGAGCAAAGAACATTCCTTGCTAGCTTTAATTTAGCTAATACAGGTAAAAGTAGTGGTGGAGACCCATTCTGGCTATTAATATGCTACACTGCCTACTAACTAAACACAAGCTAATTGGGGTCCCTGCTAGCCTGCCTGAGTTGAGATTTATGCACTTGGATAGGCTGCCAATTTTCAGTTTCTTGTAACAACTGCAAAATTAGACTAACCAAGAGTCTGTCTTGTGTAAAACTAGCTTGTGAGCAGGTTGGTCATTCACAATGAACATGGATCTGTCTGATAACAAACATGCAAATACACTTGCTTTTGCCTTTTGTTTCAAAAATCCCCTGCATAGACTTTAACATCATCTCTTCCATGCTGTGAACCCCACATACTAGATGCAGTCCCTTCGTAAGACATGTTCCCCAGCTGCAGGTGAGCATCACAGTTTCTTGCCCTCTGCATATATGTCCCACCTGACAGACCTTCTGACCTGTGATGTAATGTAGTATAGCTTAGACACTGCTTTATTCATGTCTCATTAAAGGTATTTATTCCACAGTTTGGGACTGTGCCTTTTGTTAGCCATGACCTTGGCAGTTGTCCCTTCTGTTGCAGAGAGAGGGTGTGAGAAAGGGCATGCTCAGGGTGTGATACCCTTGGTATTGACGAGTGATAATCCAGAATTACTGAGTAATTGAGGTGTTTTTGTCATTTTGATTTCACCTTTCAGCAAGGTGTGAAAATGATGGGGAAGGGAGGGAGGCTATGTTGTTTAATGTTTTTTGGTAGTAAAACCCGAGTGTTGGCCTTGTATGTGCTCTAGTGAGTTAGCAGAATAAGCACACAAAAAAAACTTGGGTTTACTTTATGAGTGACTGAAATTCCAGTCTTACCTGGCACAAGAGTAAGTTTCGCATAAAGAACAGTCTCTGAGGAGAGTTCTTGAAAATAAATCAAAAACCTGAGAGACCAAGAAAAATTCTGAGAATTGGAGATGTGACAAACCACGTTGCCCAGCTTCATCTTGGCACAGTTAGGATATGTGTCTGATCCACAAAATGTACAGTCCTAGACAGATTCCACAGCTGATATTCAAACACCCATGTAAGCTCTCCATAGGACAGCGTGTCTGTACACACAGCCATTTGGCCACCTCACAGCACTGCTCATAAGCAATGTGAATGCACACATGCAGGGTTCTCTAGTTAAATATATTTATACTGGCAATCATGAGCTGACTTCTACAAGTGCACAGGCCCTTCTTGCTTGTGAAATGTTATCATGTGCAGACTGCACTTTCTTTTAAGCAAAGCAGCATTTTTATCATTTTATATTTTCTTTCCCTTACAAATACTATTTCAGCTACACTAATATAGTTTGTGGTACCTTTGTGTCTCAAAGATCTATCTCATCACAATAAATAATTTGGGATAAAATGCATCTGATAACCTGGAGAAATAAGCCTTGCAGCTGTCCTTCACTTTACCATCCATATAGCTTTCACAGTCCATGCATGTTCTGAACAATTGTGTCTTACTAAGTGTAAGTGAAGTGTATCTTTCAAATACCTCTCTGTGCCCCAAAACTTCTCAGCCTCTCTACTTCAAGCTTATAATATAGCCTCACTCATCACTTCTGGTCCACACTGAGACGTTGTGATCACTTCTAGTGCAACTCATGATTTCTCCTTATCCTCTGACCAAACCATTTTTTGTGCCAGTCAGCTCAGGAGGTGAATGTGTCCTGCTGTGTCTACATAGATTCATCAAATTCAGCTGGCTCTGAGGAGTACATAAAAGCATGTTGAGTAGGTTTAGAGATTTTAAAGAAGAAAACTTGTATTTCTTACTGTGAAATCTCCCCACAGTAGTGGGAGAGATTTCACCACATCAGAATGCTTCTGTCTCAGCCGTTTTGGACCCACAGAGTGTAACGTGGTCAGCAAGTAAGATGTGGGAAGTAAAAAAAAAGACAAACTAAAAACCAATGGATGAATCATGGCAAGATGGGTTGAATAGACAAAGGCATCTTAGAAGCCTCTTGTAACTAGAACTGTACAATTTGGCATCCATTTACCAAGAAGAGTCATCTAACACCTACTGATTCACTTGTTTTGCTGTAAGAAAAATGCCTTGTGCCACATGCCTTATACCATTTGCATACCCTTTTAGGTGTGCAGCTCTGGTAGGGAATGTAACCTAAAGTTGTTGCCAGCAGATAGCTGATACATGAAAAATCAGACTTCTTCACAGCTGGTAACTGAGCCATTGGTCACCTCGCCAAAATTACCACTGCAGTAACATCTGTGCAGGCACAGCCGACAGATTGTAAATTGTGAGAAGCTCAGGCAGTGATATTTGTAGCCATGTTCTATGTGGTTATGAGTGAAGACCCATATCATTTTTGAAAGCTGGAGGAAGAGGTATCGCAGGCATTTTAATATGCATCTCAGGCTGAGATGCATTGCTCTGTGGATAAGTAGGGAGACTATTTGACAGAAACTACTCAAAGAGTCTGGAAAGTTTAAGCATTTCCTGAATATAAGGACCTAGAGGAAGAAAGGCATGAGTTAAAGAGGCAGGAGGGCCATATCTTACATATATTATACTATAAAATGGAGGAAAGAAGAGCTAGGACTGGAGTGGAGAGTATAAACACACATTGTAATTAATTTCTTGTGTATTTTCAATTGTCTGGAGACAAGATGAAGGAGAAGTGACCAACACAATAAAGTCCTCCTTCAAAAGGTGATATTCAAACACCCATGTAAGCTCTCCATAAGAAGATACAGTGACAAGGCAAAAAGGAGGTAGGAGTACAAAAAGCACAAAAGGGTTTTGCAAGAGAACAGTCTCGTTGAGAACAGCCGTGGATGGCATATTGGAGACGATGAAAACCGAACTGAGGATTGACTGAAAGGTTTTAGAAAATTTGGCATACTTCCCCGAGGTCTGGGGTACAGCAACTAGGTTGGAGAGGCTGTAGGATGGACGTTGAAGATTCTAAGTAATTAATTTGAACATTCTGTTTGTTAACCTTGGGGATAAAAGCCAAAAGGGAGAAGAAGCAGATAGAGATGCTAGAGAGACAAAGTCAGGAGATGTGAAAAATTAAAGCAGGATAATGGAAGGAAGGGTTTATTGTGCTTTCTTGCCCCCTTTGGAAATTTATATGATGGTTTCTAGCAGAGGTCAGTATATGGAAGTCTCATTGCCACTGCTTTTGCTTGATTAATGAAGGCTGGATGCTGCTTCTTTTGCCTGTTTATGATTTGTGACTGTGAAACATCACACACAAACATGCTTTAGTTCTTTTCTTCATTTAGATCTTCTCTCCCGGAGGGCTAGTTTGTTTGTCTTCTCCCTCAGTGGTTTGCCACTGACGTGACAAACAGCACTCTATGCGGGAGAAGCACAAGCATTAGAAACACAGAAATTGGAGATGGAAAATTCCACTGTAAAAGATCAACTAGCCCACTGCGCTTGGTAAGCCAAGGCATAAACAATAGCATTGGGTTTATTTAAAATACCACAAGAAGTGCCTCTGAGCAACTTCTTCACCAGGTGATGGATCTTATAGCCAACAGTGCTCATCCTAATATTTGTCATTTCATCCTGTTTTTTCCTGCTTCAAAAGAATAGTGCTCTCACTTTAGCAAACCTCACTGTTCTATTCTCATGGTGCCTTATCCTATTTCTAAGTTTTGCAGCTTTGCATCTTGTATCTCATGTGCAGCACAACCAGCTGTGTTCAGCTCTTTCAGTTCACCCAGCATCTCTTAATCAGTACTTACAACTTCTACTTTGTTAAGATGAATTCCTTTATATTTGCTAACATCTTTCTGATGAGATTTTCAGGACAGAATGCAATATTCTGTTGGGGTATTTGGGAACCGTTAGGTCATGACCTGAACCAGTGATTGAGCACCTGTTGAAAGGGTGTAGCCAGCCCTGAAAGCACAGGTGCAAACAATTCACTGGTATGACTGGCAGGGTCCACTTGTGCAACTCAGGGTCCAACCCTCCCTAACCTCATTTAAGGGCTGGCAGCTGAGAGGGAGACATTTTGACTTGGAGACTGCCTCCTTTAGGAGTTTCCAGTGAGTACTAACCTTAGGAAGAGGTAAGCTGTTCCTTCTTTATTACCAAATTGTGGCCACTATGCTTCTTGGTGTTGGGTGATTTAAAGCTGGTTAAAGGCAACTGTATTTTTTGTCTCCTATACTTACATGAGGTTATACTACAGTACTGCTGACGGAGGTCTTTGTTGTAATTCTTGTTTATGAAGTGTGCTCTCTGATTGTATTTGCTAATCTGCCCATCATCTCATTTTATAGACACATCTAACTTACTGTCTGCTGTCCTGTTGTTTTAGGTGCCTTCAGTGTTATAGCTTCTGAGAAACCTTCTGAATGAGTAGCTCTTGATTTGAATTATTTCTCTCTAAATGTAAAATACGCTCTCCCTGTCCTTGTTGTGTCCCTCCCCCCCCCCCCCCCCCCTCACACACACAATCCCCCAGTGGAATTGCAGTTTCCCGAAACTCATTTGTGCCAAAGCTTTGATTTGTAAAACTAATGAAGTTCTCTCAACCCCACAACTTAAAGACGTTTTCCCCCCCTTTCCCTTCCTGAGCTAGAAATCATAATAGGATTCTTCCTTTAAAGAAAAAAAATTTTTTGTGGGAGATGTTTAAGCTTTGTAGCATCTAAATACACAGTTTTCACTTTAGGCTGTCAAGAGAGGTGAATGAAAATGCTGAACAACTTTTGCAGTGTCTGAGCTAAAATAGGAGGTTACAATTCACAGCTTATTCCCTGCCATCTGCCCCACGCTCTTTAAGTTAACCTCAAGTGTAACTTCTCCCCTAACCCTTTTCTTTTAAAACCATTCACTTAAACTGAAGTTTTTGTTTGTTTGTTTTTACTCTCTTTCTTTTGCTTATTTGACAAATAGAAAATATCTGATCTCCTAGCAGATGGAAAGGGAAAGATCTTTGGAGAGAATAAGAATAGATTGAAAGATTATGACTACTGAATGTGGTTCAGCTGCAGCTCTCAGCCCCTTGGAAACTAGTGCTAGAATTAGGAATGCTCTTCAGGGATTATGGTTCTCCTCAGTGCCCTGCTAGTCCGTGCTGTGTGTGTTTTGTTGTTTTTCTTTTATTTTTTTCCCCAAAACTCATTTCTAAGAAGCATATGATGTTGAAGACCTGTCAGATCACACAGACAAAGCAAAGGCTATATGCCAGATATTCTTCCCATCATTGAGTGCATTATAAAGCAAGCCAATTAAAGGTCACATCTGTTAGTCACAACTTTTGTGGTTTGGCTCTTAGTGAGCAGCAGACTATGTGAGAGCAGGACGTGTGTGTGCTCAAGGCTGTCTTGCAGTAAAGTGCTGCAGAGAGGATGTGTGGTGTCAAAGCAGAGTGTCAAAAACAAAATAAAGGCTGTAGCTATTTGTCACATATCCGTTCAATATTAGCATTTGTAGCAGCATCTTTGATGTTGTCCATCTGCTTGCTCTTCAGTTCTTTAAGACAATGCTGCAGAATTGTGCAAGGCCAAAGAGACAATTCCTTGCACACAAACAGAACAGCACTGGAGCCAACAAGTGCTACGGACTGCTAAGAGCAGACACTTGTGAATTATCACTTGTCTATGGTTTCTAAAGAAAGTTCTGTGCATCCCACGTTCTTCTCTTCCTGGTGATCTCACTAAAGCTAAAAGTAAAAAGTAGAGCTGCTGAAGGTCGCTTTCCTCATCCATCAATCTTACAGATAACCCTTCTTATTAGGTCTTTTCTTAACTGCAACTCTGTCCCACTCAGGTAAGCTTTGGGGCAGAATTTACCTAACTGTAGAAGTTAGGCGTGTTGTTTAAGGCACCATCTTTTGGAATCAGCTTAGGTGTACAGACTTCTCCAGAGGGCAATTTCTCCTAATGTAACACAGCTGTCTGACCCAGGTGAGATGAATTTGCTCTGAACATGCCTCCCTCTCCACTAAAGAAGCCTAGACAAAGTATGTTGATTACAGGAGGTTTTGTATGTTCTCATATAGCCAAAGTGTTAGGTAAGATGAAATTCCACTGGAAGACTTTCATCTTCCTCTTGTGGGCTAATGTTTCTACTTGTCTCGCTTGTCTGTCCTTGCTATGTATTCAGTCTTCCTAGTACCTACACTCTTGAATGAGATAACTGGGGCCTTCGCTGTGAGTGGTAAGGACTCTCTTCTTTCTGCAGAGCTCCTTCCTAAAGATGCAGTTACAGAGGAACCCACCTTCTTCCCAGCACAGTGGCAGTAAATCTCTTCAGCTCCTTCTTTTGTTTTCTCCCATAAGAAGTCCAGCCACAAACCAGGATGGTCATAGTAAGTTTGTGTTGTGGGAATGGTGTCTTGAACTTGAGACCAACTGGTCTGGTGAGCAGCTCTCCTCTCCTAAACCTTAGGTTACAGACCTCTGCGTGTTTGGGTGTCTGTCTCACACCTGACTCATTCTCTGGTTTTGATTCATAACCATATGAGTTTAAATTTGGGGAAATATACTTGCTCCTGTGTTGTTTTTTGTTGACTTTCTTTTTTATGCTAAACACAGAACTTGCAGGTTCATGTTATGTTAGAAGCTGAGATCTGCTATATGGTCTGTACTGGTTTGACCTGAATTCTTACACCTCTCAAAACTTTCCTATTTTTTCTTGCAGTGTTCCTCTGAGAGCACAGTACTGACCAGGTACATCAAGTCACCATTTGCTAACATGTAACCTTTTTTGAATTTTTTACTGGCCCAGGAATAACACTTAAAGTGTAATAAACTGCTTGAGCCTTGCTTCTCCAGTTGCATAGCACCTTTAGTTTCTTGGCTAGATTGTGACCCACAGGTTGAAGACCACCACTCAAACTCTGCTTCTGCAGCGTTGTCATTGAGGGATTAGCAAATATTGGCTTGAAAAGCAGATGTGGAACTAGTGGCAATGTGTGCTTTCAATTGTTAGATTACCAGATAACTATTTCAGCACATAAAATTTTAATTTATCAACTGTTGTCATATACTTCACCCTTCTGGGACAGGAAGCGTGTTTTGTGTGTTCATAGTCTGCAAGTTCTAGGTACTGAGGTACTGATTTTGTGTTGTTAAGAGTAAATCCTATTTGTGTTCCCCTAACAGTAAGAATAGGCAGCAGGTAAGGGTTACAGTGCCTCAGTGAGGCTTTGTTTTAAAATCTAGATTTGAAAAAGGAGAAACAGAACCACGTGTGGTGAATGATGTCCTCTGAGCTCTCTAGGGCCACCTCCAGCACAGCTCAGTGTCAGAGGATCCATCCCAGCATGAGTTGATGCATGAGCACAGCACTTCCAAGGCAGCAGTTGCTTTTCTGACATCAGGACCAAACTCGGTTGTAAAATGCTGATTTCTTTTAAAAACTAGTGCGTTGGGTTACCAGGCACCAGCAGTCCTGTATGCTAATGAATTCCTGGAACTCTCTTAAGTGTGTAGAGAAAATGGCTCTGTTTTACCAATGTAAATGTCATCTTCCCGTGTTTCAAGGTCTCAGCTCCTTCAGTGGAACTTCAAGTAGCTCTCCTCATGTTGGCATGACTGCCTGATAGTACTCATACGTGCGATGTGACTGCAACTCATTGTGGCTTTTTAATCTTTTGAAGGCTTCAGCAGCTTCCTGTCCGATACTTGCAGCAGAAAGTGACAGCTGAACACCGCACGGGGCTGAGGCTGCCGGAGCGTCCTTGAACCGTAAGGTTATCGTAAAACCCGCCCTAGCTTTAAGCGGCACATCTAGCGCACCCGCGCCACGAGTTTATGGGCCGTGAGGAGCAGACCGTGTAACGCGGCGCTAAGGAGGGTTCCGCACACCGGCTCGGGCTGGTGGCAGCCGGGCTGGGGCCGGTAGCAGCTTCAGCATCCAGCATCGGGGTCAAGGGTCTCCGGGCCTTTCCAGCGTCCCGTCGTTTGCTTTCTAAAACGGCCGGAGGGATTTACTCTTCCTGACCCACCGAACCGAAGCGGGGTCTGTGCCCGGGGGGAGCGGCGCCCTCAGCCCCCAGGGCGGCTCGGCTCGGCCCGGCCCGGCCGCCTTTGTCTGCGCTGGGAGGAGCCAACGAAAGGCAGATTGTGTTTTTTTTTTTTTTTTAAAAAAAAAAAGTCTGGCCGAGAGCCAGGAAGTGTGGAATCCTGGCCGGGTGGTGGCAAATTTCGCCAGATCGCAGCCAGAGGCAGCGCGTCCTTCAGCCCGCGGCGGGGCGACGGAGGGAGCGGAGCTGTGCGAGGAGCGGAGCAGCGGCGTTCTCTGCCGACCTCCCCGCAGAGCGGCGGCGGTGAGTGCGAGGGGAAAGCCGGGCCGGGCTGACGGGCGGGGGGCTCCGCCGCGGGAAGTGGGGCTGGTGCCGGAGGATGTGCCCGGGGCGGCCCGCGGAAGGCACGGGGCTCAGCCCTCGCTCCTCCGAAGCAAAGCTCCGGCATAAATCCCTAGCAAGTTTTCCATTTGTGAAAATATTAAAAATAGACCCTCCGGTTCCATAGTGCTGCCGAGTGAGTCATTTCCAAACCAAATATATCCGCCTAACCCTCCCACTGGGGGACACAATAATTCTGAAACCGAGGGTGAAGGGAAGGAGGCTTTTCCCTCCGCTAAACAGACCAAATTAACGCGTAGCCGCTGCGAGGAGAGAAAAAAGCCTCCAGCGGCGGGCTGCCTGCTTAAAGCAGCGCGGTGCAGCCCCGTCCCTTTCTCACCTCGCCCTGCGGTGGTACCACCCGCGTTCCCCTGCAAGGCGCCGGGAGCCTCGCTGCCCGCTCACAGCCGCGTGGACAAACATCACTGTTTTGTTCCTTTAGCTGTCAGACCCGTCCTCTGTCACCTCTTTGGGACGTCAGCCACAGCCATGGGTCATGCCAGCGGTGACCGATGCTTCTCTTGGCTGCCTATGCTGAGAAGTGCAGTTCAAAACACGGTTATTTTTTCTCTCTCTTTCCCGGTCATATGATGATTTGTTCATGCAAGCAGACTGTCTCGAGCGGAGGGACTTTTTGTTAGCAACAAATGCTGAGCATATTTATAGAGAATGCTGCAATTTTGCGTTGTGGAAGGTTTCATTTATGCAGAGCTACCTGGATCTGTGTCTGAGAGTTATTTGCATCTTTTGTATGATGTTGTATGTATATGTGTATTCTAAGCATACGTCCATGGCTCTTGTTTCACAGTGAGGCAGCATGCCTTAGGTATAGAAGCTGATGTGCAGGCTGTGTTTTTCTTCTAAAGCAGAAGATGCTGTCCTAATGATGTAGATGAACTAGCAGAGACAAGGCTTGCTGAACTGCCTGTCTTTACATTAGGAAGCACCTAGCTGGGGGCAAAGTCCTGCCCTTTGACCCCTAAGCTAGCACTCAGCAACAAAAATGACCTATAGCTGAAAATATGTGCTGTAAGTTATGCCAGCTATTTCACAGCCTTGTGAAGGATGTGAGGTTTGAGAGCAAGATCTGTGGTAACGACCCAAACCTAATGCTGTTTCTTGGCAAGTAGAGAACTGTGATGTAAAAGCGCTTGCATTCTCTTTTTGCTGTTTAGATTCAGTTTCTCCTATAATGCTATTTATATATTTTATAGCTGCGGAGGCTATTATGATTTATTGACTTGTCACATAGGGCGCAGGATACTCAGACATTCCTGCAGTCTGTAGTGTTTCTTTTAGCTCTAACATGTAGGAGATTCATCCACTTAAAAGTACCAGTGAAGTACTGGGGGAAAAAAAAGTAAATATCAATCTTTTGTGTTCCAGAACACAAGAAAAAGCAGACAGTGTCCCATGAAAATGAAAACTTTGCTGTAACCTAAGACACATTATGCACACTTCATTGTTAATGTATGGCATTGTTGCTAGGTTTCTAGTGCTGTGGACTTCTATAACATCCTGGAGGAAGAAAAACACTTCAATTTGAGTTCAAAATCAACTGCTTTTTGGTTAAACTTGGAAGAAAATTTTCCAGAGCTCTGTTATTCTGTAGTTGTTTCTGTGGTTATCCTGAATCGCTGACTGACGTGGCTGTCAAGTTGCACTGAGACCTACACCAGTGGTTTGCAGTGCTGGAGGTGGACAGGGATGTTCAATCAGACAGTTCCACGTGGGACTATTATTTTCTATGTCAATTTAGCAGCATTGTTTCCTTTTGGTAATTTTACAGCAGACTTCAGGTGACAATTGAGTTGCACATCACATTCATCTTTGGTCTTTAAATTTGTTTAGATACTTAAATGAGGTTATCTGTAATTGTTTTCTTGCAGTGTGTTTATGGACTGTCTGATATCTGCTCAGCGTCTGATAAGACTTCCAAGATTCTTGTTCAACGGTCATCTGGATCGCAGGTAACATCTACTGACTCCTCAATTCCTTTTGGAAGAGTTTAACTTCCTTGCACTTCTAGTAATGATAGACACAGAATAGGTGTGATAGTTCTCACTTAACCTGATAAACTAATATAGGTAGCTTCCATTCTTATAGAAGAAATAGAGGCGTGAGACTTGAAGAGATCGTTGAAAGCTTGAAAGTAGCAAAAAAGTAAGCACTAAAAGTGTATCTTTTATACTCAATGTATTTGGTTTTCTTATGTTACTTTTCCAGGCCTCCGTAGACTTTTCTTTTTTGTTTCCCTTGCACATAATGTATGGCCTTTTGTCCTCACTGGTTCTGCTGATGTGAATTCAAGCATGAATATATATTGAGTATGTGCTGGACTCCAGAGCTTATTCAGTAGGGCATAACAACCTGTTCTTCCATTAGATAGAGCTAAGTGTAACTCAGAGGGTGGAAGATTGTGCTGAAGACTTCAGCAAACACCCTGTGATACCAGAGGTGACTGAGGCTGGGCTACAGTGTAAATCAGGCTGCTCAACTGCTGTGTTTTGTAGCCCTAAGGTTAAAAACAGGGAGTGTATTTCTGTTTTTAATAATAACAATGGGAAATGTGAAAGGAGGGAGAAAAAGGAATATATATGAAGTGCAAGAAAACAAAGATGATAGATTGCCATTCTGCTTGCAGTGTAGGTAGTTTCTAAAATTTCATTGCAGTTGTGACATTTTGTTTGGTCTTGAAGTTTATCTTGTCAGTATTCTGATTAACATTACTAGAAAAGTAGAAATGTCATTATGGTCAGATTGATACAAATTTTTGTTTCTGAATCTTTGTTCTACTTCCCCGTTCCTTTTTTTTTTTTTTTTTTTTTTTTTTTTTAAATGGATGACCTTCATCCTGTGTGTTTAAGAAAGCGTTACTGTGGTTCTCCTTTATTTGTCCTCCTCTAGTAACTATAAGAATTAGTTAATTTCTCTGCACTTGACCAAGGAAGAAAAAGACAGAAAGGATAAAGTTTCTCTAAGCTTTTTTTATAGCTTGTGCTGGAAGAAGGGCTCTGGAGGGAGTTATCCCCTCCTGCACATGTGAAACCCAGAGGGAGCACTTTAGTTCTGCTGCTCATGTAACTACTGCATATGAACAGTTTATTTGTTGAGCAGCTATGGTTTTTTTTTTTATTTTTCCCACGCAGCTTTTCCACATGCTAAGCACAGCTCCTATGATCCCTGCAGACTGCTTGATGTAATTTGTAACTTCTTTTGAAAGAGTTAACACAAGTGTTTCCTGAATTTTGTAGCAGATGCTACTGGGGAGCTATTGGAAACAGGTTGAAGCGCTAAAAGTTTAGTTCGTGTGTTTGAAAACACGTTTGTCATTTCAATCTTAAAGCCTTTTGTACAGCAAAAAGTCCAATAGCTTACTCGTACTGTTGTCATTCAAGTGCTACATTCTTGGCTTGCTTTGCTCCAGGAGGGGTGCCCTGACGGGTGCATCTGCTAAATGCAATTCCAAACAGTGGAAGGAAATAATTATTTATGTTGTCTTGGTTTTTTTTTCTGGTGTAAAATATTCTTGTGCTGGGGATTGTTCTGGTGAAATAGTGCTCATTAAAAGGCATTCTTGTAGTCAACAGAGTTTAAGGCTTGAAGACATCAAAATGAAGTAGGCCAAAACTGATGGGCAGCTTTAGGCGCTGAGCTCCTTGGAGTGTTATTTTGCTGTTAAATCAGTTATTTCTCTTTTTTTTTTATTGTAAGAGCTTGAGGTGTTTTTTATGCATTTGTATATAATCTTGATCTCTTTGGCTTGCTCTGTGTCAGTGCTGTTTTCATACTTTGTTCTATGGGGAATTGTGTTGTATAGGTCTTCCTTCTAACGTGCCATGAACTGCAGAAGGTGGTGGTCTCTGAATTACAGAGAAACATCCCATCCCAGGATGGGATATAAGCAAAGGTGCTTTTTTCCCCTCCCAATTTGACTACAGTTTCACTTTGAGTTTCAGGTTTACTTTAACCTCAAGAACTCAAAGCACAACTAAGTGGAAACCTCTGAATTTCTTTTCAATTCCTATGTGGCTCTGCTACTAATGCCTGGTTAGAGAGATCCTTCTGTTCATGAATTTGTTTGGGATATATAATGAGTAAAGGAAAGATGTAGGTCCAGTGAGGGGAAGAAAATATGCAGAAGGAGTTCAGTGTATGGATATAACATAGGGAAAGTGAGATCTTGTTTTGGGTAGCTAAAGACTAGAGCTATAATTATCAGACATGAGTACATACCAGAGGATTGACACAGTATTGGGAAGGGCTGTATTCCCATATTCTGTAGTGGCTCCTCTTTTTTTTTTTTTTTTTTTTTTTTTTTTTTCCTAACATGCTTCATTTCCATAGTTAACATCAAGTTTAATTAGGGATAGGTGGTGGCTGAACACTTTTGGATTCATAGAGGCTGCAGAGTTTGTGCCTTCATAGTGGATGGCCTGGCAAAATAATGATAATAAAAAGAAGTTGACATCTTTTGGTTTTGAGCTATCTTTTGAAAAGAAGAGGTAGCTCAGCTGGTTCCTCATTCTTTACAACGGGATGGAATTCTTTGGAAAGCTTTGAAGGAGCTTAGAGGCATTTTTATTTCACTTTATTTTGGTGAGTAGGTTCCTGGCTTGGGAGGTGGAAGACCTGGATGACTCATTTTGCTGGCTTTCAGCTTCATTTCCTCAGCCAGAAAATGGAGATAATGATTTTCACTCTCCTTATTAATAATCCTCCTAGAGCTCTTTTTTGTAAAGAGCGTTTTGCAGGGCTGAGCAGCCCATCCACCTGGGGTTGAATGTGCATGGTCTGCCTTGGGGTTTTCCCATACTGTGGGGTGGGTGGGCTGGAGGTATGGGGCAGGCAGGCATCCCTTCAATACCTGGCATTGCATGCAGTGGGACCAACCAGGGACTGGCAGGAGGTGTGTGGTGGGGCTGCAGGTAGTGTGCTTTAGCTGGCTGAAGTCCTGTGTTTGCCAGCTGGCATGGAGAGTGCACTGAGAGCCTGAGGAATCAACTTGTTTTCCTCTGTGTGGGACAGCCTGGTAAGGTGCTGGTGGAGCATGTTCCTTCCTCCTGCTTGGATCCTATTCCTGAATTGGGTATGGTCTGCAATCCTGGATTGTAGCTTAAACAGAGTTTGTGTTATTATTATTTTTTTTTTAATAACAATGTCCTGAGTTGATTTTGGTCACTGGGATTTCAGAGGCAAGTGGCATTAATATACAGGTAGGGCAAAAAAAAAAAAAAAAAAAAAAAAAAAAAAGCTGTTTCCTGAAGGCTGTAACTTGAATCAATCTTAATGATGAGATTGCCAGACCAAAATACTGACTTTACTCCATTCCATTTATCTTTCTGACTTGGGGCAGTTTCTTAGAAAGGACTGTGCCCCTGCTAGTAGCATAAGCACATCAGAAGGTGTTTTGCTCCTTGTGTGAGGGGCTGCTCCTGTGACAAAGTATCTGTACTTTGTCTTGCTGGTGGATTGATCCAGAACTTGAAGGCCAATGTTTAAGCTCTTATTGCTCTTGATGGGCCATGTGTTGGAAATTTGACTCATGATAATTTTAGTTTCTGAAGTTGTGAAGGAATGGAAGGATGAAGGGTATAGGAGGGACTATGCCTTGAGATTGGGCCCCAGCCTGTTCTCAAACTATTGTGGAGACTTGTGATTTCAGCAACTCCACTGTATGTAAGATATGGCTTCTGATCATGCTATCCAGAAAGGAAATATTTTTAGCTATGGAATAATTAATGCACTTTTTCTTAAGCTTATGCTTGTTTTGCACCCAAAATCATTACAAAAAACTCTGTTACATGATGCAGTATCCAAACTCGTAGGTCATCAATGTCATGGTTGCGCAGAGCATACAAAGGAGTAGAAAATGGGCAAACATATCTATCTTCATGAAGACACTAATTTTCTACTACTAAAAATGTTCATATGGCAAGACATCTCTTTATATCTGGATAATCCCTCTTTCTTTGTTGTAGTATTCCTCAGATCTCCTGAAATACTTGAATGAATGGAGCCTCATGTGGTTCCCCTCTTCCCTGCATTACCATCTGGTTTGAAGTTGCTTTTTGACTTGTGGTTTTTTGTTGTGAATGTAAAGTAGCACCACTGCATGTTACCCTCTAAAAAGCAAAAGCAGCTGTAGTTTTTGGTGCCCTGTTGCTGCATGGGCGGCTGTTGCTCTAAGCCTTGCAGAGGGGACATCAGTGACCATTTAACAAAGGATGAGACTATTTTAAATCTTAGCTGCCAGGAGCTTTTTGTTTGGTTGGCTCAGGATTACTGAGAAGATCCCTAATTTAGAAGGAATGCTGCCATCATTTTCTATAGGTTATTCTCTTTCCAGAGACAGAGCTAGGTGTATTGCCAGATCTTTATATATATATATTTTTTTTCTTCCAGACAGTCACAGGTACTTTGGTCTGTTAGAAGGAAAAATTCTTTTCATTAAATCACCTTATAAGAGCTTCTCTGTTATTTTCATGGCTAATAGAAAACAAATGGATAAAAATTCCTAGTTTGACAGTAATGTTTTCATGTCTGTATTTACAAGTGTTTGCTGGAAAAAGATCTGTGTCCTTGTTTAATTCTTCTGTTGAAAGATTCAAGTTGATCTATAAAGTGCTCACTCAGATGTGATTAATTAGAAGTAGATAAAACTACATTGTTGTCAGATTGACTCACTGTCCAGCTCAGCACCCCTCTCCCCCAAGTTTTGAGCCCTATCATCTAGCTTTCAGTTATTTGCTCATTTAAAGACCTGAGTTTTCAGACACAGGTAATGTCTGTCTTGTTTGAGATCTAGAAGACTTTAATAGCTAGACTTTGATGTGATAATCACAGGTAAATGGGAGGGGGAAAAAAATATCAAGAAAAGAGGAGTAAGAACAATAAAAGCATTTCTCCTTGACTTTAAACAAGTTTGCCAAAAAGAGAAATGCAGGGTCATTAGATGACAGAAGAGCAGAGAGTCCTCAATAATCGGGCAAACAACTTGAAATTCTGTTGCCACCTCAAGTGTTGCCCCAGTGGTTGGAGCACGTGGCAGTGGGAGATTACGTTGTTGAGGCACCATCTCCTGTGCTGGAGCTGAGTTTTAGCATCCAGCTTTTCATCCCTTTTTATGATCAATGGTGAGAGAGGATACGGCTTGGTGGCTGCAACCACTGTCATCCTCCTGCCTTTCTTCTCTCCATGATTGATAAATAGTAGGACTGTAATCTTTAGATGTAGGCTTTATTTTGTAGTCTTCTGAAGCAATTTAATCCAATACCCAATTTACCAAATACCCAATACCCAAAATATCCAATTTAATACCCAAGTAGAGGAAATGTGAAGGAGTTTAGACTGAAGGCCTCTGAGGGAAGAATATTTGTGTAAATCTTTAAGAGTTTTCAGTGCAATCTAGAGAGGAAAACTGTTCACTGCTTTGCGTCATGCTGTTCGTTCTCACTAGCTGAAATAGCCCCAAAACCGTGAGGGTTTCTGATTAACCTGTATTAATACCTCCCTTGGTACAAGGATAGTTTCTCTCAGAAAAAGAAAAAAAATAAAAATAAAAAAAAATAAATTGCAGACTACTGAATGTGTAACATGGACATTACCAACAAACTGCTAAACGACTGGGGTCGTCTTGGTAAAACTTTCAGTGGAAACTGCTTACTGAGAAAGGAAAATCTGATCTGAAGGAGTTGTGGAGATGGAATACTTCTGGAGCTAATGCAGAACAATTATGTAAGGCTGGGTTCTGGTTTGGGGGCTTTGTTTTATGTCCTGATGCATGGGATCTGCAAAATGCAAATGCACTGTGCCAGAAGTCTGTTTTCCAGCACGTGCTCTCTTACCTCTGGCTTTATAAATCTCTGAAAATAGTTTAAGTAGGCTATGGGTGGGGATGGTTATTCTCACGGACCTTGGTGTTTCGGTTCTGATAACATGCTAATTAGCTATACTTGATGTTCCTCTGGTGACTAGCTTGTGCTGAGAGCAAGCTTACTATGACTGCTGTCTAATGGCTACCGTTTCAGGTAAACTAGGAGAGAGTGCTTTCTCTTACTTTTCCCTGAGTAAGCGAAATTAAGGCTCTGGATTTGACCGAAAGCTGAAGATTTTTTCTTTAAATCTGTGGTGAAAATATAAAATAAACTTATCTTAATACTGAAATGGGATTGCAGACTATGGGACTGGGGAAAAAAGTGGGGAAGAAGGTCGTCTTAAATGCTCATGGCAGGTAAGTGCTTGTTGTTGTCTGTCCGAGTAACTTTAGCAAGGGTTAAGGGAAACAATGTATATGTTTCCATGAGCAGAAGCAAGTATGTTCCCTTGGTAAGAAGGAAGCATTCAGGAAATTTGTCGTGGGGCCCTGTGTTCTGCTGCTGTGGAATCAGGCTCGTAAACCCAAAGACCAAGTCTGGGAGAGACCTTTGTGATGGTCTGTTTTACCTTTGTGCAAAAGGATTTCCTGCACAATTTAAATATCTGTATATTAAGTTACAAAATTTGTTCCCCTTACACTTCTGAATTTAAACTTTCCCCTTGCAACTTAACCCAAGTTAATACAAATAGAGCTTTTATAGTAGACTTTTATTGCTGGGGATAAAGTACTGTGTGTGGTTACACTGTTTGGAGTACTGGATTGAAGGTTAGCACAGGCATCTTAACAACTTTCTAGCCCAGTTAAGTGTCTACGTCTGATTTTAAAATAACACTATATAGTTCTGAAGAATCTGTTCCCTTCCCTGTACAAAAACTGTTGAAATAGTAGTTTATGCTGGATAAAGTCATCTGTCACTCATTCAGCTCATCTCGCTGTCAGCTTTGGGACTTCATGATGGCAAATATTGGCACAATTATTTGTTTTGCAACAGAAATATCTGTTATGCTGACTGCCTCCCAGACACCTCTCTGTGTCATGAGTGAAATCTGCCCTCACCCCTTCAAGGTGTTGCAGTTTTTCTCCTCTGACAGTTTCTGAGGTGGCTGGAATTGCCAATGGAGCAACTACTAGCAGATTGGGTGGTGAAGCTGATGAGGGGTCTGGAGCACAGGCCTTATGAGGAGTGGCTGAGGTAGCTGGGATCTTTTCCTCTGAAGAAGAGGCTCAAGAGTGATCTTATTTCTCAACAGTTATCCGAAGGGAGGTTGTGGCAGTGTGGGAGTTGGCCTTTTCCCCACTTAGCTAGGGGTTGGTCTAGAGGTAATGGCCTCATGTTGTGCCAGGGGAGACTCAGGTTGGATGTTAGGAAATAGTACTCCCCGAGTGGTCAGACACTGGGAGGGGCTGCCCAGGGAAGTGGTGGAGCTGCTGTTCCTGAAGGTGTTCAAGAAGCATTTAGATGTTGTACTGAGGGACATGGTTTAGTGGGAGATAGTGGTGATAGGTGGATGACCTCCTAGATCATCATTTTTTCAACCTTGGTGATTCTGTGTGAGCAATGGAAAAAAAAAACAAAAACAAACAAACAAAAAAAAAAAAAACAAAAAAAAAACCCACAAAAAACAGAATACTGTTTCAAAAGGCAAACAGAAGACAGTGTGATTTGGTTCTATTTTTCGTATTTATTCTTTATTTGTAAATGTTATAGTAGTGTTTTTTCTAATGGGAGCAGAGCAGCCACTCAACCTGCAGCTTGCTGTCCTTTCTGGTAACACCTATTAGGGCTCAGTTTTCTTCGTGGAAGTCTGTCTGGCCTTTGTCATCTCTAGAGACAGTCAAGAGTTATCCAAAGATCTATCCAAACTGCATTCAGCTTGTGGGGGATAATAGGTGTATTTATTTATTGAATAGTAATGATAGTTTTACATGTTTTGTGTCCTGTAATCAAGGTGTTTGCTCTGTATTTTTCCCCTGTAACACCATTGGTGGTGGGGCCTTGGTGCTTACAACAGGGCTGAGGGCTTGCTTAGGCTTCCTTGGCTGATTGGAACAAGGCAAGGAGGAGGCAGGTGATGAGTTCAGAGTGAAGCGGGGCTGCCCAGGTTGCAAGAGAGCTGCTTTTTTACATGTAAAATGATTAGCTAAGGTCTGCAGAGTGTGAAGAATTTCCTGGAGCTGAGCACTATCTAAATTAGAAGCACCATGCAAATACAAAGTATACCTCTAGCTGATTGTATCTTTTTTTACTTCATGCTGCAGATGTTGTGGAAAAGAGAAGGCTTTGCTTTACATCTTCTGTGTGTGGTTTGGTTATACAACTATTATTTTTTCCCCATCTCTTTCTCTGACATCTCTGTTCTTCAAACTGCCAACTGAATCTGCTGCTTGTACTTGTCTGAAGTGGGAAGATTTTGAAGTGCAGCAGCTTTGCCAGAGGTTTTTTTGTGGTTTTTATCCAAGTTGATTCTAACTTACTCTGTTTCTGTGGTTTGTTTTGGGCTACATATTCATCTATGTGGCGATGGTGATCAGAAGGGAAAGTACGAGAATTTTGTATTCAGACAGCAATTGGTTGTCTATAAAACAAAAAGTAACCAACCCAAACAGTCCTGCTCACTCTCAAAATATGTGGCTGTCAGAGCTCTTCTGCAGAAGCTCCTTATGGTATCTATCTGTAATGAGCTGATATTGAGTTTTATTCTCTTGCATAATGCTTCTGGAAGAAGCAAAGGGTTTGTCTGATCATCTTTTGATCATATTTTGCCCCTTTTTTCTTCTGGTGAAATGTTTCTCTTATTTTATATTAGGTGAATGGCAGCTCTATTTAAAGGTATTTGTAAGGTATCTCTGGGAATGGTTTGGGCACCTCTGTTCTTGCATTTCTATTAACTGAAATGGGAAGAGAAACCACACTTGTCTTTCTGGCTGGCTGTGTTGAGTCATTCTTCAGGGGGGAAAGGCTGCTGCTGTTGAAGAGCTCCTGAAGATCTGCCCAAGTTTGCTCTTAGTGTGATAGGCTATTTTCACTCCTCCCCTTCCTCTTCATTTTTCAGGACTGCTTCAATTTCTTTATCTTATTACGAGTTTGTATCACAGCCTAATGTGGTGGGGAACTGCTAGTCTGAGGCTAACTGTTCACTTTCATTGCAGGCTGAGTCCTTGGATTTGAAGTCTTGTTGATGCCAGTGAGATTGATACCAGGGCCTTCAAGAGAAAAGACTTTCTGATAAACCCACTCCACTCCATTCAAGCCTATGACTGGGGGTTTCACCATATCACCATCCTTTGCTCTCCAGTTGCACAAGATGGGTTCATTCAGAAGGCCCCGACCTCGCTTCATGAGCTCTCCAGTGCTCAGTGACCTGCCACGTTTCCAGGCAGCTCGGCAGGCTCTGCAGCTCAGCTCCAACTCGGCGTGGAACAGGTGAGCAGTATCTACAGTGTGAGACTGATCTTTATACTACTGTGTATCAGGCTATTTATGGCTAAGCTTGATTATTTATAAGCCTGAATGAGTTTTTGGCATGCCTGAGGTTTGCAGACATTCAAAGCCTCTGTGGAGGTGGCAATCAGACTTAGTTTTTGGCCAGCCTCTTTTTTAGCCAATGTTTTTTCAGAGATACAGTCTTGAAAGTAAGACAAAACTGCACTATATTAACAGATCCACTTTTTTCGGTATGTTTTAGGAAAGCTATTAGGGCAACAAAGGTCAGTTTCTTAATGCACAGCAGGAATTTATTTGCATATTATGAATCTTTTATCAGAAGAACTCAACTGTAGTAATTACTAAGCTTGTGGCTTCTACTTCTACCAGAGTTTCATACTGCAGTCAAATCCTGTCTGCAGCACATATCATGCAGCAATGACCACTGGAAAAATGATGTGTAGGTAAAGTGTGAGATGGTCTGCTGCTACTGAAATCAGGTGTTCCCACCTTTCTGTCTGCCATCTTGCACCATCTTTGTGCTCTGCAGACTCCTTTCTCTTGCTGAACTAGTTCTGCTTACTAATGTCACACAAACGTAGTCCAGCAAAAGCATCGTTGTTTTGTACTAGGATAGAAACCTACCTGAGGTTACTGAAGTGTATGAGTGCCAAACTTGTTTGCAGAAGAGAACTTCTATTAAGCAAATGGCATCTCCTCGTGCTGGCTGTGGCAAGCTTTTGCAGCTGCTAAATCATCCTGTCACTTCAGGACTTCCTCTGTGCCAAAAAAGAAAAGTATATTGGAAAAAGTATGAGAGTATCTGTAGCTGTTGCTATACCTTACATGCATTAACAAGGCTTGAGGATGGGCCTGACTGATGCTGCCTGCTGAAGGTCTTTAGTGCAGCCAGAGTCCCACCAGATGCTGCCAACTGGGTGGCTCAGCTGGTCCTGTCAGCATCTCTGGATAATGCAGTGTGATGCGTTTGGTGGACACTGACAAAAGTCTGTGTCTCCTCATAGCTAATAGCCTGCAGCACACATCAGAGATCCCACAACCAGTTTTTTTTAAAGATATATCTCCAGTGAATGTGGTGTTTGTGAATGGTGTCCCGGTGATGACTTTCCCTTGCTTACTCTGAGTGCAGTGATTTTGAGGGATGAAAAGTGTAAGTATTTAAGTGCAATTAACCTTTCCCACCCCTTTTTAGCCATTCAGCTTTTGGTGGCTATCTCACGTTGCATTCTGTTTAAATCATACTGGTGGCCATTACTTATGGATGTTGTATCATCTCATTTCTTTTTTGACAGTGTTCAAACAGCAGTGATAAATGTGTTTAAAGGGGGAGGCTTGCAGAACAATGAACTCTATACCCTCAATGAAGCTATCAGGTAAGTTGTTGAAGTGTGTGGAGAAGGGATTTTTGTTGCTGCTTGTTTGGGGTTTCCTCGTTTTTGCTCCTAAGCAGAAATGTAGTGAGAGGAGATCGATGTGGGGGAAAACTTTAACATGTATTTTGAATTTTAGGTTGGCTTCCTACCTTTTTTTTTTTTTTTTTTTTTTTTTTTTTGCTATGGGGTGATGTGAAGAGCACTGGGTTTTTAGATAATGTTTAATTAACTTATGTGGTGCTTTGACAAATTGAGGATATTTATTGAGTTAGAATGAAAGGATTTTGTCCCCTTCCATGGAATTTTCCTCTTAGGCCTGTTTCCCTCCCCCCATTTATTTAAGGACATTCATAACAGTAGTAATGTTTTCTGTCACTGTTTTTCTCTAAAATCAAGCTTCTCAGAACCACGGAGCATTTAAACAAAAAGAAACTTAAAATATAGTATTTCATGTATGTACATTCTATAGTGATTTCAGAAAAAGACCAGAAAATACTAACTCTGAAGATTAAAAACCTGGAAGTTTAACAGTGATGATAAAAGTATCGTTTTTTATTTTAAGCAAGCCTCATGGTTGTTATCTGTGGTTTTGGTCTGATTACTTGGAAACTTCAGTTAATGATAGGCAGGATTATAGAGCAGATACAGAGCAGTTTATTCTTGTTGATTCCAAGTGGTGCTAAGAGGAATATTGACAGTTCACAATTGTAGTTCCTTATTCCTCCTCTTTCTCACTACATCCATATTCATCCATCATGAATGTTGTTGTATAGGTCTCAACTTCCACATTTGTATGCTTACCTCATCCCTATTGTGTTTTTGCTATATGCCAAATTAAGTGGTTGCTAGAGCCAAGAACATACTGAGCAGCAATCTACCCTTTTCCCTACTGTCAAAGTAAATGTAGGACATGAGTCTCTGTCCTACTTGATCTGGTCCCATAGTAAAAGCTTCATAAAGTTATGTCTTATGCTTTAATGTTATTTAAATGTGCCTAAGGCAGAAATCTTCAAGTTATATTCAAGTACTTGCAGCAGTATTAATTCTCCATGGGATGAGGATTTCTGTATGTGAAAGGGAAAAACAAATGTCGTAAGCCTTTGGAAACACCCTAACCCGCAGCCTGTAGCATACTTGAAGACTGGTTTTGGGTTCTGTGAATTGCCTCCTAGGCTGCTGCTCACTGCAGTGGCTTCAGCCTGCCTTCCTGAACTGGTGCAAGCAGGTACTCCTTCCCAGCTTCGTGGGGAGGAGATACTCTGGAGAGAATAGCCCCTTTGGATGGGCTTGGCCCCTGTGGCTGGACTGTGCTCTGGTAGTGTCAGTTACCAGAGTCAGTCTGGACTGTCAAGAGCTAGATGTAGAACAAGAAATTCTTTGTGAAATATGTATGCTTTGTGTACAAAGTGGAGATGGTGGGAGGGGAAGTAAGCTTTTCCACTTGCAGGCAGCACTTGGAAGCTCTCTTTGAAATTAATGTTCCTACATGTGCCTGAGCATTGATCACATCTCAGAATGTCATTTTCTGAATAGGCTGTTTTAACATTCAAGCAGCTCATCAAATCAGTCTAAGGAGCAAAAGTCATGCAAGTGCATGCATGTTTGCATATGCGTCTGCAGCTTTGCATCTGTGATTCTTGATATAGCTCTCAACTAAATGTCAATGCAGTGTATATGAGGTTTCAGACAGCCAAGTCTTTTGTGCCATTAGATTGAGCTGGTGCATCTTCATCCTTTGCATTTCTTCACTCAGATAATCAGTGGAAGTTAGCAAATGCAGTGTTCTAATAGCTACAGGCTCTGCACAGTGCTTAAGTTTGACAGTGGGAGAAGAGGGAAGTGTTAAATTTGGGCAGTAACGACAGAGCTAGGAGATCAGCAACAGGTAACATCTTGCTCTGTATTGCTCTCACCAAGTCTCTCTCTTGCTGTGATTTGATAACATCTCACTGGATAGTTTTTTTTAATTGCTCTGAAAGCTGTCATGACAAGAGGAAACATCAGAAATGCCATTGAGAGATGGAACATAGGACACAAGGAGTGACCTGGTTATAGTTAGGAGGAGAACCATGAGGTTCTCTATGGAGTGCATGCTTTTCTTTGCAGAGGTGGATGGGATGGTCCACTTGAGAGAGCAAGTGTTCTGCTAGGGCTGGCAAATTAGCTGATCAAAAGCCCACGGGGTTCTACTGAAGCCAGTAAAAGAGCATCTCGCACACCAGCCCTTAAAGACTTATCTGCTCTCTCCATCTTGCAGAAATAGAAATGTTCTTTAAGATGGGTGGGGTGAATGTAACTCATCTGAAAAGATGTAAAGGCACTTCTGTGTTTTCTGAATAAACATGTAAGTTTTGAAGAATGCTTGGTGAGGAAGATTGCAGTCAAGACCTATGTTCACCGAAGAGTAGAAAAAGAGCTGTAGTTTGTTAGTAAGAATCTAGCCTGAGAACTAGGTGTCCCAGATGCTATTTTTTGAGCACTCTTGGTAATACTTCACTTTGTTGAAAAGCAAAACTCTTAAACCAGCAAAAACAAAAAAAAGTGTTTTGCAGTAGGAAGCATTGGGCACCTTTTAAATCTTAGGTGGAATTTATTGCTGCGAAATTTACCATCATAGTTACTGAAAGCTGAAAGTTCACATGCTCTAAACTGTGATCTGTTTTTGTGATGTTGCTTTTGATTTAAAACAACTGTTTTTTATCTTGGTATTTTGAATCACAAATATATATATTGGGATTTATCATAACCGGATTTAAAAAGCCATCAGTCTTTTATCAGAAGTATTTGTTGGGTTGCTTCTGCTTGCACAAATGTAAACAGCATCTTACTAAACTTCTAGAAATGTTTTCTTGAAAATTATGCTTTGTTTTCTGGTTTTTGGTTTTTATGCGGCAGCCATGGGGAGGCCACAGCTGCTGCTTGCGTGTTTACCTCATAGCTTCTCTCCTTATCCTCCCACCTTCTGCTTCCAAGAGAAAAGGAAGTACTGCAGTAGGGGGAAATGCTATTTTCAATGCAATGGAAGGTGACTTTCCTTAAAGAAATATCAGAAAAAAGATGAACTTAAAACTAAATAAAAACTTTGAAAGTATTCTCCAGCTGCTTATGCATTCAGGGATGTGAATGTGGTTTGTCTGTTTATTCCAGGTGAGTGGCTTATAAACAGATGGTTTCAGGGAAATTTTCATCATAACTTTATAATAGTTAGTTTTTGTAGGCATTGGTAGAATATATACTTAAATGTAAAAGAAATCTAATTGCCAAAAGGACACATTCATATACATTCACGTATCTTTGGTATGACTGGTAGTGAAGTGTGAATCTTCTTGAAAGAAATGACCAGCAATAGCTGTTACTTCATGGATGCGTTCCTTCTGTCTACAGACGGCTGCTGAAGAGTGAACTGGGATCCTTCATCACTGATTACTTTCAGGTATTATGTGATTTACTTGCTTGCTTCTTGAGATTTGGTCTGTTTAGCTTTTTAGCATATAGGAAACCTTTTTACCAGCATGTAACCTACAAATTTCATTTTTGTTTTTCCATGAAAGATCATGGAGATAGGGCATTTTTTAATGTGGTCCATATAGCCCCAAAAGTAACTACTTATGGGCATATATGCTAAATTAGGGGTAATCTTCCTTTGCACTTAAGAAAGGCTACCAGCAGCCTGCCAAAAATCAAGGGATTCACTTGAACTTCTTAAAAAGATGGGATACCATTTTTCTTTTTTGCTTATTTCACTAATATTGAGGATTCTGGACTAGGTTTTCTGAAATAAGGACTAGCAAAGGGGAAGAAAAAATACTAAAAGCTTTCTGTTTTGGGGGGTGCAGATAAGGAAGTCCTTATCAGCAGGAAATCGACCTGGTTACTGTTTGCCTTCTAGAATATAGATGCAATCTGTAGAAAAGCAAAAGGTGAAGGATTAGGGAAGATGCAATCAATCAAAGATCTGTTATTGCTTCTCACTGATGTTGTCCAGATAGACCAAGGTTCACATGCAACCACATGAAAGCATGTGTAAGATTTTGAGAGAACACCAATGGCTTTCAGTATTGCAAATTTTTCAGTGTAGTACTGATTTTAAAAAGGAGGTTGCTGAAAGCGATAGGTTGTTGTTGTTGGTTTTATTCCTTTTGAGTAAGAGAGAGAATTTCAGTACTTTCTGAAGTGGCTGATGCTGCTATGTGCTATGCCAACTGTTTTGAAGGGGGAAGGTGAGAAGTGTTGTTTCCTATCACTATTAGGTTATTTGACTTAAAAAAGAAAAAAAAAAAAATAAAAATCCCCACTATACTATCAAATGAGAAGCAAACTCTGCCCTGGTGGTAGTTGTTTCACTTCTTCAGCCCCTATCTGTACAGCTTTCTTACTGGAAGGAAGCAGTTGCTGGTGGAAAGTGGTGGGATGTTTCCTTGAAGGGGAGCACAGCAGAAAG